CCCTACACCAAAGGGCTTAAATGTTTAACTCCAATGCAGATGACTGGGAAACTCCAAGACAGAATACAAACAGGAAAGGGTAAAGTTAATAGGGCTCCAATCAAACACCAAGATCAGCAAACCATTTAACCTCCTTAGGCTACAGTTTCCTCTTCTGCAAAATGGATTTAATACCTGCTGGCCTCACAGATTGTTACAAGATGATCACCATAGCCTGTGTGTAGGAAGCCAGGACCAGCTATGAGCACATCAACTATTATGTGAGCTCTTATTTAAAATGGTGTTAATAAACTCCTTTTGCCAAAGGTATGAAGACTAATACTTGTTGTTTCTTTGTTAAAAGGAGAAATCTGCAAATGTTTGAGATCGGTTAAAGGCAAAAAAGCACCAAAAATGAGATTTTTCTCTTGATGTGATCAGAAGATGGGAGAGGGGAAGAACTAAACCAGGAATAGAAGTTATTTAATGTTTCATGAGTATAACTTAATACTTTGGATGGGTTGAAACATAGATGTTCCTCCTAAAATCATTTCTGTTTATCAGTGACGGGCAACCCAAAGATTTTTTTTTTTTTTTTTTACTTATAGCATTCTGATTCTTGTTGCTAAATAATTTATCCAAAGTCACAACTTCAGTCAGTTGTGAAACTGCGCTCAAAGGTGTAGGATTCTTCGTTCTTTCAGCTCTCCTCACCCCTGAAATCTATGATCACCTACACTCATTATTCCCCAAGTTTCACAAAGTGACAGACTGGATACAAGTGGCAGACACATCCCTCAAACAGTTAATGACCTCAGGGAACTGGGATTTCATTACAGATGGTTGGCAAGGGAAAACAAATTTTCAGTTGTTATCAAAATTAAACACCTGCAGGCAAATTATTGAATCTATCAAGTGGCTAATCGGAAGAATCCCTTCTGTTGTTAATCGGGTACAACATTTATGTCCACTTGATATTGCAGAACTCTCTAGACCCATTCACTTGGGCCACCTGTCAAGTAGATACAAGTCTTGACTCTTCAAGAAAATTAATTGGCAACACAAATGTGATCCTGTCACTCTCCTGCTTAAATCCTTCTATGGCACATTGCCTAGGGGACAAAACCCAACGTCTCTAATAGAATCTTCAAAGTTCCCTGTGGTCTTGTCCCTGTTCACATCCTCGGCACCCCATCTTGTTCTACTCTTCAATTTGCTGTCTCTCCTCCAGCCCTACCAACCATCTTTCGTTTTCTCCATTCCAGACCTGTTCTTGCCATTTGTCTGCTGAGAAGCTCTTACTCATATTCACCATCCCTGACTCTGCTAATACTCATTCAAGGCTCAGATAAACGGCATTTCCTCAGAGGAGCCTTCCCTGAGCTTCCTAAATTAGATCATGTTCATCTGTAACAAGTCTGGTTTTTTTGTTTGTTTGTTTGTTTGTTTTCGCTGACAATCATAGTTGAATCACGGGTTCTTTTTTTCTACTCTGCTGGTGTGAAGGCTGGGAGTGTATGTGAGGGTACCTCAAAAAATGTCTAGAAAAATGGAATTAAATTATGAGTTTATTCTGGTGCCCAAAAAAATGAAATCCATGCATAGTTTTTCGTAGTGTTTTCCATTTTCCATGAACTTTTGAGAGCCCTCCAGCATATATGTCATCTTTGTATTCCTGACACATACTGTAGTTTCTAATACTAAGAAGACTGACTATGCATTTGTTGAATGATGAACAAATGAATGAATGAATGGCTTCAGGCTAATCTCCAGTTAAGACCACTTAGTCATTCCAAATAACCTAATCTTGACAGAGGATCTGGTACCAACTTCTTTTCAACTTTAATTTGAATATCCTCTTTTACTAAATGGGCATATTCTTTTTCTTTGGAGAGGTTTTTGCTATAGGGCACATGTGCTTGCTGGAGACACACAGAGAGAGAGAGAGAGTGAGAAATCACCCCCAGAGAGATGGCAATGTCCTCATCCCTTCTCCATTCTCCTGTGGGGATATTGGACATGCATGCACGTACATCCAGCATGAGCTTCAAGACACAAGGTCCAGGACTAAAACAGCAGTTGGCCATGTGACAGTCCAGTGCCTTAACCACTACACCACCTGCTAGTCTTAGTACAGATCTTTTTAAGCAGTGGAAAGGAGGGTACAATGAATGAGTAAAACCCAATTCTCTATCTAGCAGAGTGACTTTCCAGGATGCTGGCTACAGTTCTATCATAGAGAGTGACACCCTTCTGAAAATAGGGTCACACAGTAATATCCAACCTAGTGGGTTCAGGTGGAGCTCACACAACCCTGATATGAAGACATTGTAAAGTCTTCCACCTTTTAGGCTATACAACTTGGTTTGCTTTCACACTGAAGGAAATTGCACAACTTCCTCTTCAAGAAGTCAGAGTAATGGGGACCAGTAGTTAGAGTAATGGCTATGTTGCTGGACTCCCATGTAGTCGACTGTGGTTCACGTCCCAGACCTGGTGGCTTAAAACAGTGAAATGTCCCACCTGTAAAATCGGACACATTTATTGCCTACAGAGCTCCTGTAAGCACCAAATGAGATATTCTACTATTTCTGTAGGAGTTTCTGATACTTCAATTATGACAGCAATTTGTCAAATACCAGCCAAATGGTGGTAATTTTGCCACTTATCCTAGAGAGCAGTTTTATCTTTCTGATTTCAACAGCATCTTTTCCTAATAAAGTGAGATTTTATTCCTTGCCATTTGATGACTGGTAGAGAAAGCCCTGTTCTGAACAGGTTAATGAGAGAGGATTTTAAAATTAGTTTTGATAGAGCCACATTCAAGAGATAACCACATGATTGAATTTGAAGCATCTCCCCTGCTTTCTCTCATTCTTCTATAGTATAAAAATATTTTTAAACAGTGTAGCCAATGTAATACCTCTTTATGAAATAAACACCTGTTGGCTGTAACAGAGCAAATGCTTGATGTAAATAAAAATGACTCAGACTAAGCCATGGTGGTGCATACTGCCGTGGGAGGCCCAAGTAGCATGCACCTGTAATCCTAGACTGGGGAGGCTGAGGTAAGAGGACTATAAGCTTGAGGCTGGCCTGGACAACATGTCAAGACCCTGTATTCAAAAAGATATCAGGGAACCAGCAGTTAGCATAATGGCTATATCTCTGGACTCCCATGTAGTTGACTACAGTTCGAGTCCTGGACCCAGTGGCTTAAAACACACCGGGCACGTGTGTGTGCATGCCCAAGATCCCAAGAGGAGAATGGAGGAGAAGGAATTGCAGCGTGGCCATCCCCCCTGGGGGGGTGATTTCTCACTTTCTGTCTCTCTGTCTCTCTCTGTCTGGCAAGCTCACGCACCCTATAGCAAAAACCTCTCTCAAAAAAAAAAAAAATATATATATATATATTTATGTATGGGCACAGTGGGATGTGCACATAGTCCCAGGTGGGAGGCTGACGCAGAAGGACTAGGAAGGCAAGACTGTTGTCTAAAGAAAGAAAAATCAACTAATGATTACTTTAATCAGACTTATAGGGGATGATTTTAGAGAAAACATAACTCTTGTTTCTGCTAGTTGATGCTTGAAAATTCATTAATGAGATATAGCCTTCCTTTTAACAATTAGAGATGGTGTTACAATTTAAATCGCTTTTGGAGTAGTATATACAGTAAAATTTTACCAAGATGTGGGTCATTAATTGAAGAAATTTTAGATAGTAAAACTTGAAGAAAAGGATATTAGACTCACACTCTATGAAAAATAGAAAAGGGGACCAGAAGTTAGCATAATGGCTATGTTGCTGGACTCACACATAGTCGTCCATGGTTCGAGTTCTGGACCCAGAGGCTTAAACTCATGCCGGGCACGTGTGCGTGCATGCCCAGGATCCTGAGAAGAGAATGGAGGAGAAGGGATTGCGGCGTGGCCATCCCCCCTGGGGGATGATTTCTTGCTTTCTGTCTCTCTGTCTCTTTCTGTCTTTCTGGTAAGTGCACGCGCCGTATAGCAAAAACCTCTCCAAAAAAAGAAAAAAGAAAAAAGCTTTATTTAAAAAAAAAATAGAAAAGTAGGGCAAAAGAACTGAGTCAACCCTTCTACTTCACTCTGTCAAGTTCTGAGACATTAAAATAATTTTAATAATGATTAAAATTTTTTAAACACCTTTCTTTTTTAAATTATTACAGTCAACATGACTATTAGGAGAAAAACACAGGAAGAAGCAATTCCTATTTAAAATCTCATGATGTTTCTTATGTTTTACAATATTTCTCAGAAATATATACTGAATAGGAGCTGGGTGGACCTTTTCATGACATTGCTTTTCATTGCAGGCTTATAAATGAATCTTTGAGGGACCAGCTGTTGGTGACTATACAGAAGACTTTCACATACACTCGAACCCAAGCTCAGCACCTCTTCATCATCCTCATGGAGTGCATGAAGAAGAAAGAACTGGTATGTAATTTCCCATGGCTGGCAGGGCTCTCCCCACATTCCCAACTATTTTCTTGAATCTGGCACTATATTCTCTTTCTGGCTGAGGTGCTAGCCCTCTTCAGGCTCTGATGATCCAAGTAGTTTCATCCCCTAAGCTAAGACCCTGCTGTCTCTGCCTTGGAGTCAGTGCAGTGTATGCAGAAGGGCTTTAGTATCATTTTCTTTGGGAACTTATCCAAATGCTTCTGATTGCCTCAACCAAATGAGTTGAGGAAACAAAATAGGTTTCCTACTGGAAAATGCTTCCGTTGATCCTCCCTTAGGCCTGCGATTTTATTTTGCTTGTAAGTAGAGAATCACTGGTGTGCTTTGTGTCAAATGTCTTTAGTGGAACGGAGCCCAAGTTAATACGTTAGTCTGTGCAGGTGGGAAAGGGAGAAACATACCCAAAGAATGTTGGGGATGTCTGTCATTTCTGAAATGCCCTCTAGTAACTACTGAAACACATCATATATCATAGCAATGTGTCTTACAAATGTGGTTTAATCACATTTCTGTTAGGCAATAATGCGAATTGACATTTAATAAGCACTTGCTGTATGCCAGGCAGCTCGATCTTTACAAGTGTTAACCTGTACACTCTTTGCAATTGTCCTAAGGAGAGAAGTACAGTTATTACCCTCACCTTCCAGAAGGGGAAACCAAGACTCATTTTTTTAATAAAAAAGGAATCAGGACTCAAAGCCAGTGATATTTAACCTCAGTGGGAAAGATTCTTATTCAGGAATTGTCTCATTGCTGCCAATGGAGTGAATCACTCACTCTGGGTAGATTCTCAGCAAATAGAGGCTGTTTTTAAAGGTCAGTTGTGACAAAGATGATAAAACATCTAGGGAAAAGAACTGACTAGAGTGGTCAAGATCCACCTCTAGAAAGAATCTACACAGCCTTCCTGAGGTGCAGGATAGAGGCATGTGGAGGAGGAGAATGGGACAATGCCTCTGTTCATTCTATTTGCTGATAATAGAATACTTGAGTCTGAGTAACTTAAGAGAATAGAGGCTTATTCAGGTCCAAGATCCAGGGCCATGCCTGGTAAGCATTCCCCTGTTGGTGGGGTCTTGAGGCCATGCAGGGAGGATGTTACATGAGAGAACCGGAGTTCAGGTCTCTGTGTCCCTCAATCTTTCTCTTGGTCTCACTCATCTCCTTACAAACCCACCAAGAATCAACCATGGGGTCCCTACTCTAATCACTTACTCCCAAAGGCCTCGCTTAGCTTTTGACACCATGAAGGTATTAAACTTCCTCTCAGTACCTTCCCAGCCAAATCTCCACACATGGATTTGGGGGGACACAAAGCACAGCAACCTCTAGTCCTCCAGTAGCCTTAGACCCAGGTACCAAGTCTGGCTGTACCATAGAGAGAAGCCAGAGAGCAGATGGGGCTCCAGCTATGACCACATCAGCTCAAGAGAGTCTCTCCCAACCCTGAAAGTGCCACCAGATGGTATCTTCCCATTGGATGTGGTTAACTCACGGTGTGTCAGGAGCCACGCTTCCTCTCCCAAGGAGGCACCTGAAACCCTGGGCTCCCACATGGCAAGGGAGGGATTTTCTTCTGAGCACTGACAACTTGCCAATGCTGAGGCTGGTGCTGACTGTGAAAACTTACCAGAACTGCACATTTCAGCAGTCCTGCAGATTTCCTAGGAAGGCAGTTCAGATGAAAATTCCAGGAGCCAGTTAGAAAGTCATAAAACCAAATAAGGCTGGATAAAGTTCTCAGGGCATTTCATGGGACTGATTCTGCCTGGCAATTCTTAATGACACTCAATCATGGTCCCTGCTGAAAGGTCAACTGCACCTTTGGCAAGTTATTTATTATAAAAAGAGAGAGAGAGAAAGAGAGAGAGAATTCTAGCTTCAGGCTAAGGAAGAAAGTGTGCTCTTAAGTAATAAATAAGCTTATCTCCACATCTGGGCAAAAAAAGTTAGATATTACTTAAGTAATAATTACAATTAGAGTAATTTTCATCTTCAAAGAACTATTTACATGCACAGAGAGTGCTGGATGATTTACAAATGAGGTGGGCACAGGTGGACATCATGTCTCTCCTTTGCAGGGGCAGGAGAGGGAACTGAAGCTAGGAGAGGTGAAGAGATGCACACACAGCTGAAAAGAGCTGAGACAGGACTGCAGAGCCTGAGTATTTTCCACTCTTCCGGCTTCATAGCATCCCACAGAGAGCACTGCATAGTAGAGTTCCTCTTTTCTATCCTTCAGCTTTCTTTCGATCCCCTTTACAAACTAAGTAAGACGTAATATTCTGAGGCCAATCTAATCACTGCCAATGTAAGCTAAGAGACTGGTTCTAAAGCTCCTCTGATGTTATATCCTAGGATCCTATTAACCTATGGAATAAAAACCTGTACTGTGGATGCGGCATTTGTTTGTGAAACTCAAGCATTGGGGTGGTGTGACCTCATGGAACATGTACCTCGCTGGGCCCCTGTGGTTTCCTGGTAGGCAGGACTGCCTCTCATGACATCATCCCACAGATACTACTGTCCTTTCTCCTCGTTTCATATAGTTGTTTAAGAAACTCCCATACATCTCTTGTTTACTCAAAACCTGCTATCTTCTGACATATAGCTTCATAAAAACCAAACCATGAGCTAAGTTATATCAGTGGTTTTGCATAAGAAAAAAATCAAAAATTAGAGATAAAAAGCATCCATAAAAGAGGGCCAGATGGCAGCGTAGTGGTAAAATGCAACATGTGAGAGGCTGACCAACCTGGGAATGTTTGGGATTCACATCCAGAGACTTCTCTGAGTATGCCAAGCACACATGTGCCCATGATCCAGGGCTGGCTGAAGCTGGTGGTGGGTCCTGGCAGTAAGACCCTGTTAGGGGTGCTAGCTCTGTCTCTCTTAGTCACGAAATAAATAAACTTTAAATAAACTATATGGCCTCAGGAAGGAAGTCTTTTTCTCCCTCCTCCAACTTATTCTACATAGCGCTCCAGGCTTGATCATCTTGAGAGACTTTGTTGTTACTCCATTGCTCAGATAACTTCAAAGCCTTCCCTTTGCTATTGACTAATCCAAACTGTTTAATGTCAACTCTAAGGGCCTTCAAAATCTCAATATGGATTGAAATTTTATCCCCATACTCTCCTTTACTTTTCTTCACCACCCTGTTCCCCAGACAAATAATTAAGGCTTTCCAAATACCCTGAATTCTCTACATCTGGATAAGCATTCTCTCCTGCTGCTGTATCCATTTGCTTAAATCATATGCCACTGCAAGCATCCAGCTATAATCCAAAATGTTTTATTGTGATTTTCTAGAAAAAAGCACATGGTATAATCATACAGTTGCCTGGTAGCCCACACCTAACCTGCTCGTATGTGGAAGCTGCTGTGCATCGTGGCTCACATAGGATCTCTTTGACTATATATGCAACCTCTGCTGGGATTAGTAGTTACGGTAACCTAGATGAAATCATAGGTTTTTAAATGAGACACCTGACAGTATCTGGAAAAAAAGAGAATGAAGTTTCAATAATCAGCCATTGTATCTATATCTGGGTCAAATGGATTTATTCATTATGCTTCTGTTACACAAATCAAATATTTAAATACCAGATTTATTTTCCCATAAAGGTGAAATGTGAGCTGTACTTACCCACGTTGGAAGAATAAAAATTCAATTACATGCCAACAATTTTGTACTAAATTGTTGCCTTCTCCAAGAGGACTTCAGTTAGTACAATTGATGATAAAATACAGGAAATAATCTGAATTTTATACTTCTTACCTCAAAACTTAGAATACTTTGGAGTTTTCCTGTATTTCTATATGATTTTTGGTAAGTTCTTTAAGAATCTTAATAACTAAGTGGTTATTTACTATTTTTTAAACCTTCCTGTAGTTTTTAAAATGAGGTTAGTTATCCAATGGTTTGTCTTATGATGTGTATTGGCCATGTGCTAATAGCAGAGCGCTTATGACTTGAATGTGAAAAGAACAAGAATATATATCTATTTATGTTGATTTAACATCTCAAAATTTTCTGACTTCTTGAGGGCTCGTGTAATGTACTTCACAGACTTTACAGTAATAATATGGGCTTTCTGCTTATTTCCCTATTTTTAGCTGGTTCTCATTTACAACAATGATTCCAAAAATCAAGAAGCATACATTCTAACTAGAGTACTAAATATGGTTTTCCAATCCATCAATTTAGATGCACAGGAGTGAAAAGAAACTGGTTTTTCCCCTAAACCTAATCAATCAAGAAGCTTCTGGGAAGGCCAGTAGATAATATGGTAGTTAGGGAGCTAGACTCCTACATGATCAACCCTGGTTCAAGTCCCAGACCTAGTGGCTTGAAATTCATACCAGGCACATGTGCGTGTGTGACCAAAATCCTGAGAGGAGAATAGAAGAGAAGGGGTTTGCAGCATGGCTATCCCACCTGCAGGGCGATTTCTTGCCTTCTGTTAGTCTCTCTGGCAAGGTCACATGCCCTATAGCAAATTTAAAAAAAAAAAAAAAAAAAAACCTTCTAGGGACCAGGAGTTGGTGTAAGGGCTATGTCGCTGAATTCCCATGTAGACAATCGCGGTTCAAGTCCTGGACCCAGTGGCTTAAACTCATGCCAGGTGCTTATGCGTGTGAGCCCAAGATCCCGAGAGGAGGATAAAGGAGAAGGGATTGGGGTGTGGTCATCCCCCCTGGGAGGCGATTTTTCGCTTTCTATCTCTCTCTCTCTGTCTTTCTGGTTAGCGCCCTATTGCAAAAACCTCTCAAAAAAAAAAGAAGCTTCTAAAGATCATTATCTTAGTCTGTTTGAGATGCTATAACAAAATACCATAATTGGGTGGTTTATAAATAACAGAAATTATTTTACTCAGTTCTGGAGTCAGGATGTCAAGATCAAGATGCTGGCTGATTTGGTATCTGCTGAGGATGTGCTTTTTCATAGATCCTAACTTCTTGCTGTGGCT